ACCAGTATTGTTCAACATATTCATCAATGACTTGGATGAGGGAATAGAGTGCACAGTTAGCAAGTTTGCTGATAACACTAAACTGGGAGAAGCGGCTGACACACCTGAAGGCTGTGCTGCCATTCAGAGAGACCTGGACAGACTGGAGAGTTGGGCGGGGAGAAATTTAATGAAATACAACAAGGGCAAGTGTAGAGTCTTGCATGTGGGTAAGAACAACCCCATGTACCAGTACACGTTGGGGACTGAACTGCTGGGGAGCAGCACAGGGGAAAGGGACCTGGGGGTCCTTGTGGACAGCAGGATGACCATGAGCCAGCAATGATCCCTTGTGGCCAAGAAGGCCAATGGCATCCTGGGGTGTATTAGAAGGGGTGTGGTTAGTAGGTCAAGAGAGGTTCTCCCCCCCGTCTACTCTGCCCTGGTGAGGCCGCATCTGGAATATTGTGTCCAGTTCTGGGCCCCTCAGTTCAAGAAGGACAAGGAACTGCTTGAGAGAGTCCAGCGCAGGGCCACAAAGATGATGAGGGGAGTGGAACATCTCCCTTCTGAGGAAAGGCTGAGGGAGCTGGGTCTCTTTAGCTTGGAGAAGAGGAGACTGAGGGGGGACCTCATTAATGTTTATAAATATGTAAAGGGTGACTGTCATGAGAATGGAGCCAGGCTCTTCTCAGTGGCATCCAATGATAGGACAAGGGGAAATGGGTATAAGCTGGAACGTAGAAGGTTCCACTTAAACATGAGGAAGAACTTCTTCCCAATAAGGGTAACAGAACACTGGAACAGGCTGCCCAGAGAGGTTGTGGAGTCTCCTTCTCTGGACATGTGGCAAACCCGCCTGGACGCGTTCTTGTGCGATCTGATCTAGGTGGTCCTCCTCTGGCAGGGGGATTGAACTAGATGATCCTTTGAGGTCTCTTCCAATCCCTAACATTCTGTGATTCTGTGATATATTTCCCTATCAGCAGTGGGTTTGTTCGTTTTGCACTCGGTAATTTTCTGCTCTGCAAAAGTTACCTGTGGTTTAGAAGTATTTGGGGTAAGTCAATTCTTTCGGTCTTGGATAACTCACTGACAGATCAAAGTACAGACATTACAGCAAATGCCACTTAATATTCATTGTCTTCAAAGCATTATGAATTAAATATTGAAGCTTATGAAATGTTCTTTTATAATCCATATTTTGGACTTGCCTACAATACAAAAACCCAGGTGATTTCATTCCCAAGGTGTTAATTATTCTGTAGTTACCTACTGATATATAGCATCTGTAAGCTAGACCATTAATGGCTACTTTTCAATAATAAACTAAGTATATATATATTAAGTATTTTGAGAATCACTGGAGAAAATGGCACTGTGAAGAATAGCAGTAATAACAACAATAATAAAATCTTTGAGCACAGGATACAGAATTATTCCTCTTTAACGTTGTAATATTTGAATGAGGGATGAGCAGGATATTCTTCCCATTTTACAGATTGGCAAAATGTTGCTCTGGATTTTTTCACATTTTTTTCTTTTTTCTTTTTTTTTTTTTTTTTGTCATTGCTATATGTTTTTGTGGTTCACAGGCATCTTTAGTTTAGTCTTTCAAGACCGTGACAGTAATGTTAAATAATCTTCTCATTAACAAATGATCTTAGGAAGAACAAAAGGAAATTGCTACTGAAGTGTATAATCATCGGTCAGAGTTTATGATATTTTATTCAATACTTAGGATTTAAAACAGAATTGATAACTGATATATCTCCTTCAGTGATACCATTCTTTTTTTTTTTATTCACAGAAAAAAACCTTTCTTTATTTTCATCTGCAAGAAGCCAAAAGTTTAAAAAATTATTTTATAGATGCTCTGGTTGTCCATTGAGTAACTCAATTTACATTTCAGAAGAATCAGTTTAAGCAGTTGAAGAGCTTAATGAGGGCATTACATACCTTTTTATCGTAGCCATATTTCTGCAATCAATTCTAAACAGCTCAGGAATCTGCTTACATGTTATGAGTTGAGATCAAAGCTTCTATAGATATTCTATCACATTTCAGTTTCTGAAGTAGCTATCTCTATCCATCTAGCTAGAAACAATACGTTGAGAGAGATTCTCAGAGATGTTCTGCACCTCTGGAATTCACTTGCTTCCCTGATCTCAACTGGGTTTTGTCTACTTTCATGGGATACTCGGAAATATATTTGCATTCCCCAGTTCATAACATTTGGTGGAAAAGAAGGAAAAGCACTGCAGAGGGAAAGATACTGTCACAAGTAAATTTTCTTATTCAGATTACTTTTCTTGATGTCTGCCTCGTTTACAATAAAAGCAACATAGAGACATGTGGCAAATAAGTTATTTTTACAT